AGGGGGTGGGAGAGGGGACAGCGGCGGGTGCCAGGGGGATGGCAGAGGGGATAGCAGTAGGGGCAGGGTGGGTGGCAGAGAGGACAGCAATGGGAGAATGGGGGTGGCAGGGGGGACAGTAGAGGGGCAGGGATCTGGACAGGCTATGAAGGAAAGAGCAGGGCGTGGCAGAGGGAACAAGATGTTGACAAGGGGATGGAGGGGACAAAAAGATCTCTCTGGGGCAGGGGGCCACCCCAGGAAGCCGTAAGTGCCACCAGTTTCCTAATGCCACCCCTGTCCCCTCCCCAGCTGTCCCCGGTCCTGCTGCAACCACAGATCAACGTGGTGGCCATCCTGGGTGAGCTGCTGGCCACTGTGCCCACGCTGGACGAGGAGATGGTGCTCATGCCCCCAAGATGCCTGTACCGGGGCCTGGAGGACTTCACCACGGAACTCTGGGATGCCATGATGTACACTGAGAGCATCTGGCGGCGCCACAAAATAAGCCTGCATCATGATGACCCTCTCACCTCCCTGAGCTGGGCCCTGGCCGCCTACAAGAGCACCCCATGGACCACCTGGGACCATGTGACAATGGCGGTTAGCAAGTGGCACAGGTTGGTGGCCAAGCTCGTGGACAGCTGGGCCAAGCGGGCCAGGATGGCCACCAAGCTCCGCAACACCTGGAGGGAGGTGGCCTCTGAGGTGGCCAACATGGTGACCACCTTCACCATCCTCGCCAGGGAGCTGCAGGACAAGGCTGCCTGTCATGGGACAGCTCAGGAAAAGATGGTGAAGCCGGGTCTGGGTCTGGGCAAGGGGGACGGGGCCAAAGTGGTGGCTGGGCATGAAGCCCGGGTGAGGAGAGATGCCTGCGTGGCTGCCAGCCAGGCAACCAGAGCAACCTGGAGAAGACAGCATGTGGAGGCGGCCCTGGGGCTGCTGGAGCGAGGGGGGTGGAGGGGACGCTGGGGGTGGCAGGAGGGAAGAGGGAGTAGCCAAGGGAACAGGAGGGAGTGGAAGGAAGGGGGGAGGGGACATGGTGGGGAGGGGAAATGAGGGAGAGAGGAGACAAGGGGGCTGGTGAAGGGTGGCAGATGGGACAGCAGTAGGGGCAGGGGGGTGGCAGAGGGGACAGCAGTAGTACAGGAGGGACTACAAGGGGAGGGCATGGAGTGGCAGAGGGAACAAGAGGCTGACAAAGGGATGGAGGGGACAAAGGGGACCCCTCGGGGGCAGGGGGGCACACCAGGAGGTCGTAAGTGCTCCGAGGTCCCTGACACCTCCCCTGTCCCCTCCCCAGCTGTCCCCAGCCCTGCTGTCACCACAGGTAACCGTGGTGGCCATCCTGAGCAAGCTGCTGGCCACTGTGCCGAGGCGGGACGAGAAGGTGCTGCTGTTCATGTCCCCAGGATGCCTGTACTGGGACCTGGAGAACTTCACCAATGAGCTCTGGTTCACCCTGCACTGCATTGATGACACCTGGTGGCACGCCAATATCACCTCCAATGATGATGACCCTCCCACCTCTCTGAGCCAGGTCCTGGCTGCCTACAAGAGCACCCCGTGGACCACCCAGAAGCGTGTGACAGTGGCAGCCAGGGAGTGGCAGGGATTGGTGTCTGTGCTTGTGGACAGGTGGGCCAAGCTGGCCAGGAAGGCTGCCAGACTCCGCAACACCTGCAGAGAGATGGCCACCAAGGCAGCTGACAGGGCAGCCTCCACCACCGCCTGGGCCAGGGAGCTGCAGGACGAGGCTGCCCGTTATGGAAGAGCTCAGGAAAACGTGGTGGAGCTGGGTCCAGCCCTGGGTGGTGAGGAAGGGGCCGAGGTGGTTTCTGGGTATGAAGCCTGGATGAGGAGAGATGCCAGGGAGGCTGCCAGTGAGGCAACCAGGGCCACCATGGTGAGACAGTGGGTTGAGGAGGCCCTGGGGCTGCTGGAGCGCTTGGTGGCCGCGTGTGACGAAGCAGCCGCGTTCCCCCGGGAGCTGCAGCGCCTGCTGGTGGACATCGAGGCTGCCCTGAAGGGGACAAATGAGGCATCCCCTGATGTCCCCGAGGACTTGGTGGCCAAGGTGGCCGAGGCCGAGTGGCTGTGGGAGGCCAATGTCCGCCTGGCCAAGGATCACCTGCTGGCAACACTTCCAGACATCATTGACTTGTATTTCGGTTTTGGTCCCGCTGGCCCCCGTTGGCGCAGGGTGGCCGAGCAGTGCCAAAGAGCCATTGAGGACATCCCAAGGCTCATTCGACCCCTGCAGTGTCCCCAGAGTGTCCCCAAGGTGTCCCCAGTGAGCATGGAGCACCAAGAGGTGGGATGGGGAGAGAGGGGGACAGAGGAGACAGTGGGGGGGGAGGGGGCAAGGGGGCATGGAGGGGACACAGAGAGGGTGGTGGGAGGGGAGAGGGGATTGCGAACGGGACAGGAGGGAGTGGCAGGAAGGGGGGAGGTGACGGGGGACAGGGGACAAGGCGTGGACTACAAGGGGAGGGCATGGAGTGGCAGAGGGAACAAGAGGCTGACAAAGGGATGGAGGGGACAAAGGGGACCCCTCGGGGGCAGGGGGGCACACCAGGAGGTCGTAAGTGCTCCGAGGTCCCTGACACCTCCCCTGTCCCCTCCCCAGCTGTCCCCAGCCCTGCTGTCACCACAGGTAACCGTGGTGGCCATCCTGAGCAAGCTGCTGGCCACTGTGCCGAGGCGGGACGAGAAGGTGCTGCTGTTCATGTCCCCAGGATGCCTGTACTGGGACCTGGAGAACTTCACCAATGAGCTCTGGTTCACCCTGCACTGCATTGATGACACCTGGTGGCACGCCAATATCACCTCCAATGATGATGACCCTCCCACCTCTCTGAGCCAGGTCCTGGCTGCCTACAAGAGCACCCCGTGGACCACCCAGAAGCGTGTGACAGTGGCAGCCAGGGAGTGGCAGGGATTGGTGTCTGTGCTTGTGGACAGGTGGGCCAAGCTGGCCAGGAAGGCTGCCAGACTCCGCAACACCTGCAGAGAGATGGCCACCAAGGCAGCTGACAGGGCAGCCTCCACCACCGCCTGGGCCAGGGAGCTGCAGGACGAGGCTGCCCGTTATGGAAGAGCTCAGGAAAACGTGGTGGAGCTGGGTCCAGCCCTGGGTGGTGAGGAAGGGGCCGAGGTGGTTTCTGGGTATGAAGCCTGGATGAGGAGAGATGCCAGGGAGGCTGCCAGTGAGGCAACCAGGGCCACCATGGTGAGACAGTGGGTTGAGGAGGCCCTGGGGCTGCTGCAGCGCTTGGTGGCCGCGTGTGACGAAGCCACGGCGTTCCCCCGGGAGCTGCAGCGCCTGCTGGTGGACATCGAGGCTGCCCTGAAGGGGACAAATGAGGCATCCCCTGATGTCCCTGACGAAGCAGCCGCGTTCCCCCGGGAGCTGCAGCGCCTGCTGGTGGACATCGAGGCTGCCCTGAAGGGGACAAATGAGGCATCCCCTGATGTCCCCGAGGACTTGGTGGCCAAGGTGGCCGAGGCCGAGTGGCTGTGGGAGGCCAATGTCCGCCTGGCCAAGGATCACCTGCTGGCAACACTTCCAGACATCATTGACTTGTATTTCGGTTTTGGTCCCGCTGGCCCCCGTTGGCGCAGGGTGGCCGAGCAGTGCCAAAGAGCCATTGAGGACATCCCAAGGCTCATTCGACCCCTGCAGTGTCCCCAGAGTGTCCCCAAGGTGTCCCCAGTGAGCATGGAGCACCAAGAGGTGGGATGGGGAGAGAGGGGGACAGAGGAGACAGTGGGGGGGGAGGGGGCAAGGGGGCATGGAGGGGACACAGAGAGGGTGGGGACATGGGTCTGGCTGGGGGTGGCAGAGGGGAGCGCAGTGGGGGCAGGGGGTGGCAGAAGGGACAAGAGACTGACAAAGGGATGGAGGGGAAAAAGGGGACTCTGGGAGGAGATAGGGGGGCACCCCAGGAGGCCACAAGTTCCACCAGTCCCCTGACACCTCCCCTGTCCCCTCCACAGCTGTCCCCAGTGCTGCTGCAGCCACAGGTCACCGTGGTGGCCATCCTGGGTGAGCTGCTGGCCACCCTGCCCAGGCTGGATAAGATGATTTTGCTCGTGTCCCAATGGCGCCTGTACTGGGACCTAGTGGACTTCACTGAGAACCTCCGGGTCACCCTGTACTGCATTGATGACACCTGGTGGCACCGCAAGGTCACCTCCGATGATGATGATAACCCTCTCACCTCCCTGAGCCAGGCCCTGGCCGCCTACAAGAGCACCCCATGGACCACCTGGGACCACGTGACAATGGTGGCATGCAAGTGGCAGCGGTCTGTGGATGAGCTTGTGGACAGGTCGGCTGAGCTAGCCAGAAAGGCCACCAAGCTCCACAACACCTGCAGGGAAGCAGCCACTGAGGCGGCCAACAGAGCGGCCACTGCCACTGCCCAGGCCAGGGCAGGCTGGATAAGATGATTTTGCTCGTGTCCCAATGGCGCCTGTACTGGGACCTAGTGGACTTCACTGAGAACCTCCGGGTCACCCTGTACTGCATTGATGACACCTGGTGGCACCGCAAGGTCACCTCCGATGATGATGATAACACTCTCACCTCCCTGAGCCAGGCCCTGGCCACCTACAAGAGCACCCCATGGACCACCTGGGACCATGTGACAATGGTGGCATGCAAGTGGCAGCGGTCTGTGGATGAGCTTGTGGACAGGTCGGCTGAGCTAGCCAGAAAGGCCACCAAGCTCCACAACACCTGCAGGGAAGCAGCCACTGAGGCGGCCAACAGAGCGGCCACTGCCACTGCCCAGGCCAGGGAGCTGCAGGACGAGGCTGCCCGTGATGGGACAGGTCAGGAAATCATGGTGGAGCTGGGTCTGGCGCTGGGCGGGGAGGAGGGGGCCGAAGTGGTGTCCGGGCATGAAGCTCAGATGAGGAGAGATGCCAGGGTGGCTGCCAGTGAGGAAACCAGGGCCACCATGGTAAGACAGCGACTGGAGGTGGCCCTGGGGCTGCTGGAGCGCTTGGTGGCCGCGTGTGACGAAGCCACCACCTTCCCCCGGGAGCTGCAGCGCAGGGTTGGGGACATCGTGGCTGCCCTGAAGGGGACAAATCACTGGTTCCTTGATATCCCTGAGGACTTGGTGGCCAAGGTGGTGGAGGCCGAGCGGTTGTGGGAGGCCAATGCCCGCCTGGCCAAGGATCACCTGCTGGGGACACTTCCAGACATCATCAAGTTCTATTTCGATGGTGGTCCCACCAGCCCCAGTGCCTGTGGGGTGGCCGAGCCACGTCAAAGGACCAATGAGGACATCCCAAAGGTTGTGCAACCCCTGGAGCATCGCCAAGGTGTCCCCAAGTTGTCCCCAGTGGGAATGGAGCTCCAAGAGGTGCGGCAGAGGCTGTGGAGTGGGGGGGGAAGAGAGGGGGACAGAGGGGACACTGGGGGAGTGACGGATGGAGGGGGAGGGGAAGTGGTAATGGGGGATGGGGGGGACATGAGTGTGGTGGGAAGGGACAGGGGGTCACAAAGGGCACAGGGGGAGGGAGGGAGTAGCAGGAAGGCGGGAGGTGACAGAAGAGTGGAAGGGAAAGTGGGGAAGTGGGGGGAGAGGGCAGTGGGGGATGGGGATGACTGGGGAGGAGGGGACACGGTGCCTGGTGGGGGATGGCAGAAGGGGGCAGCAGAGGGTGGCAGGGGCTACAAATGTGGTGGCAGGGGGTGCAGAAAGGACAGCGGGGAGGGTGGCAGGGCGTGGCAGAAGGGTAACACAAGGACAGAGGGGACAGCAGAGCCCTCCAGGAAGGGGACAAAAGGGACCCCAGGAGAGCACAGGGGTCACCCCAGGAGGCCACCCCAGGAGGCCACAAATGCCACCAGGTCCCTGACACCTCCCCTGTTCCCTCCTTAGCTGTCCCTTTCCCAGCCACTGGAGGCTCTGGTGTCTGTGGTGGCCACCTTGGGCAAGGTGGTGGCCACTGTGACCAAGCCACACTGCGGCATGCGGCACTGTGTGCCCCCAAAGTCCCTGCATGCAGCCCTGAGGAGCTTCACCTGGAGCCTCAGTAAGACCCTGGACCACCCCGGTGTCAGCTCCCTGGGCGACCCTGGTGTCACCTCCCTGGGCCAGACCCTGGCCACCCTCAGGGTCACACGGGGGGCCAGCTGGGCCGATGTGAGAGCCGCAGCCAGCAGCTGGTGGAAGTTGCTGACTGCACTCGAGAACAGCTGGGAACAGCTGAAAGAGGAGGCCACCAAGCTCTGTGATGCCTGTGAGGATGCGGCCCCTGCCCGGGCCGGGGACCCACAGGATGAGGCCACCCACAGGGAGACAGCTGGGGACAGCCCGGTGGCCAAGGCCCAGCAACTGATGGTGGCCCTGGACAGCGAGGAGGTGGCCTCAACAGGGGACGTGTTCGAGGCCCGGGTGGCAGTGGCCACCGATAAGGAGGAGATGGCCATTGAGGAGGAGGAGTCTGCCAGTGAGGAGGAGGCAGCCCCCAGGAGACTACAGCGCCCAGACGTGGCCCTGGGGCTGCTGGAGCACTTGGTGGTTGCCTGTGAAAGAGCCAGGTATTTCGTCTTGGAGATGCGGCGCCGGCTCGAGGCAATTGAGGCCATCCTGAAGGGGACAAAGGAGGCGTCCCTTGATGTCCCTGAGGCCTTGGTGGCCACGGTGGCTGAGGCCGAGCGGCTGTGGGATGCCAGCACCCGCCTGGCCACTCGTCATCTGGTGGGGATACTTGGGGATATCTGCAGGCTCCTCACAAAGCCCCCTGGTGGCCCTGGTGGCTCCAATGGCCCTGGGGGCTCTGGTGGCCCTGGTGGCTCTGATGGCTGCACAGTGGCTGAGAAATGCCAAGAAGCCATCAAGGACATCCCAAGATTGCTGCAAGAACATTGATGTCATTGCTGTGACATCATTGAGGGCAGTGACATCTTCGGGGACATCACTGCCCCCTCTCGCTTCCCCACAGGGGATTTCAGACAAAATTAGGGAATTTTCCTGGAATTTTCATAGATACTGTCCCAAATGCTGATGGACATTCCTGGGGTGACGTCACTGGAGACACTCAGGGACACGTGGGAAGGACACACAGGGACACTCAGGGACACGCAGGGGCACGCTGGAACAGTCTGGGGACACTCAGGGACACGTAGGGACACTCAGGAAAAATCAGGGAGGACACCCAAGGAGGACACTCAAGGACACACTGGGACAGTCTGGGGACACTCAGGAACATGTAGGGACACTCAGAAAAATCAGGGAGGACAATCAGGGATGCCCAGAGGCACTCTGGGACGCTAAGGGAAGACACTCAGGAACAGTCATGGAGGACACTCAGGGACACTCTAGCAGGACAGTCAGGGACACTTTGGGGACACTCCAAAACATGCAGGGACACTCTGAGGACACTTGGGGACACTCAGGAACACTCTGGGGACACTCAGGGACAAGGGACAGGGGTGACTGAGTCCCCTCAGCAGCTTCCAACTTTCCAGTGCGCCTGCAGCAGAGCGGGTCATAAATGACAATTTAATAATTGGCTTCTGCAATTCTGCATTGGCTTTGGCACATTATTGATCACAAGAATTTTGCTGCTTGATATTGATATTAATTATTGACAATTCTTTGTAGCGGCTTGCTGGTACAAGATAATCCATCAGTTTATGTGTGCACTGTTTAACTGCTTAAATGCTGGAGTAACAAATTAATGATGTATATATATATATATCGTAGGTCATAACACATTAAAAATAGACCAATAGAAAAGAGATAAATAATAAATGTTAAATAGATACTATGCAATATTAAACTGCTTTGGTGTCACTGACTCAGGTGTAAAACAATTCCCTTGTTTCTCACACCTGCGGACCAGCCTCTCCAGATGATGATAACAGTGACACAAACCTGAGAAGAATTTATGAATTGATCATGGGGTGTGAAACAACAGGATGGAACCAGGAGAAGAAATCAAATATATTGATCCAATCTCCAGAATGTCCTGCAGACAAGTCAGAGGCTAAAACCAAACAAGAGTTCCTGCAATATCGCAACCTCTCGGGAATGTCTGAATAATGTCTAAACTCAGGAATGTGTTAGCCCTGCAGTAGAACCAGATCTGAAGAACAATTGGTTAAGTTAAGGGCGAATTCTTTAGCCAACCGCCAAAATCCTTTTATATCCCTTACTAAATTTTAGAGTTTCCAAAGAGAGAACTTTGTTTTTTACATCCGGCTGAGATCACTCCCAGTTAACAGCCTGTAAAGAGGATAGTAAAATATATTGGTTGGGTAAAAATATTGCAAACGCAAGCCAGAAGATGTCAGGAGAGTTCCCTGTGAAAGAAAGATGGGAATGTTTTGAACAAGAAAGTGAAACCAACTTAGAGCACACATTCAAAGAGGAAGAAGTGCAATTGAAAAGACAGGAACAGAAAAAAAGAAATACGGTGCTCAATGTACCGTATGACACCCAAGTAAAATGCACCACCCCCTACCAAAACCAGCCAGCCTGGATAGAACTGTAACGGGCCAATCAAGCACCTTAAACCTTCATGCAAATGAAGGATCCCAAAAGAAACCAATCCAAAGGGACAAAAAGCAGGATCAAAAGAGTCTTCAGACCCACTGAATTTGTGCCACTTCATCTGGGACATTGGAGACATCACTGCTGAAGGATATTGCTGCTGAAGCAGACCCAGCAGCGGCGTTGCAGCATCCTCAACAGGAAAGGTCCCGCTCGGCCCGCGGGCCCTCTTGCTTTAGGCCTTTCTTTTCCTTACAATAAATACTGAAACCACTTTAGTACTGGGAGACTGCTCGCATTTTTAACAGCTTGGGGGCTCTGCCAGGATACAACCTTGCCCACCCAGGCCACCTGGGACCTTGTGTTGGCATCTGGGAAAATGGCCTGAGGCACACGTGAGGCACATTGGAGCAGGTAAGTATCACCCATCCACGGGCAGGGGTGGGCCCCGAGGGGACAGGGGGGGCAAGTGTGTGTGTGGGGGGGGTGTTTGAGATGGGGCTAGCAGCCCAAGCGGCTCAGAGCTGTGAAATGAGTGTGGACTTTCTACTACCATGGCTCAGAGATCTCCATGAGGCGATGGGCTGGGAACAGAGGGAAGCAAAAGAGGGAAGTGAGGCAAAAGAGGCGGCCCCCAACCGCCCTTGTTCCAGCACCCGGGGCAGTAAGAACAAAGGAGAGGGGGTGGACTCATGCAAGTCGACTGAAAGGTCCAGTACAACCTCCAGCTGAGGCAAGCAAATGGACTATAGCCAACAAAAATGATAAATACTTGAAACTGGTCCTGAGGAAAACAAGGAAAGAACCGCAACCCTGAACACAACACCCCATGGGAAATATCTACATTGTTATCTCTGTATCTTTAAAGTTTGTTAATGTTGGTTATAATTATAGTAGAAGTTCAAGTTTTGTTCAGCTCAGAATTGACAATCAAAAGAACATCTCAGTTTCTGGTACTGTTCCATAGAGCACTCTCCTTGCGACTCTAATTGGGACCAAATTGAGGGAAAGGAGTCGGTAGGATAAGGGTGATGGCAGAATGTCCCCAGAAGAAGGGAAAACCAGAGGTGGGAGGCAAGACTGGATCAGGAACTCCCTCCAGAATAAACTCTCAGGGCACTGAGAAAACCCCTGTGGATCGAGAGGTGAGGAGGCCAGCCCCTACCAGACTGCCACTGGTAGCAATGCTACTGCTCACTCACTTCAAAGGAAGTGGAGGAAACACTTGTGAGAAGTGTTCCTGTCCCTTGTATGGAGGAGATACAGTAAGTGTATTAATCAGAGTGCACACAAACATGAGTCCCAAATGTATCGGTCACTGCCAGTTAACAGCCTGTAAACAGCATAATAAAATATATTGTGTGGTGTGAAAAATGCCAGTCACTTGTTTTTAAAAATTTAACATTTTAATAGTAATCAAAAGGTTATAAAAATAGTAATATAATTAAAGTAATAAATATTTGGACAATTAGGGTTTAGGACAATAGAGGACAATAAGAACAAAGACTTAAGGATGGTTGGGGTACCTCTTTCTGGGCAGAATAAGCCCAAAAAAAGGACACAGGTTAACAGAGGATTAACCCTTGAAAGCAATAGCCTGTTGCATATTCATGCACCTCATACATGATGCATAAATGCCATTCAAACAAAGGATTCTGTCTGCTCAGTGTCAGCTTCTTCCTCTGAATCCTAACGGCATCTTCAGGGTTGAGCAAGGTGGAAAGAAGTTAGTTTATTCTGGTAATGGAACAATAAATTCTTTTTTTCTGAAAGATTTAAGTGTCCTGTGGCTGCTATCTTGGTGCAAGTACCTCATTCCTTTCTTTAAAAAAACAACCCACATACATAGTTTCTAGTTTAACATTATGTTATAATAAAAACCTTTATTTAACACACTACTTGAAAAATTAATACACCATAACTTTCTAAACATAACACATCTAATATTAATTATAATATTTGTGAAAAGCCAACCAAAAATATGCATTTTTCACAGCTGGCTAAAAATATTGCAAACCCAATCCAGAAGATGTCAGGAGAGTGCCATGTGAAAGAAAGATGGGTATGTTTTGAACAAGAAAGTGAAAACAACTTAGAGCATGCATTCAAAGCGAAAGAAGTGCAATTGAAAAGACAAAGGGGTAGAGAGGGACAAACACATAGAAAAAATCTTTTCATTGATAAGGTTGAAAAGATTACAAAATTATTTAATTTGAATGACTGTTGGGTGTGTGGGGGGACACACTTAATTGAAATTTGGCCATGGGACAGTAACAGTTTAAGTCCTCAAGATATTTTGAAATGGATGACATCAAGAAAAAACGTGGTAGTACCCAAAAGAATGGAAGGAGAGTGGAAGGTAAAATCAACATTCATAGGGGAAGAGTTTTGATAAAGAAAGGAGAAAATGTACATGATAGAAGTAGGAGAAACATCATGTAAAAGACATCTAGCAGCAAATGATACACAAACTTCACCAGGTAGATCCCAGAAACCCCCCATTTATATTGTTCAATAGAAAAAACTGAAAGTCCATGTCTATACAGTGAAAAAGAAAAAATATTTGAATGCTTAGGGGATTATATCAACCCATTCTGGGCAATAGAAACCCTATCCAAATATTGGAAATATATAACAAATCGAGATTCTAATTCCTGGGATGCACTGAAAAATCTCTTTTGGATCTGTGATAACACAGCATATGTGAAGTTACCAGGAGGGTGGAGCAGGAGTTGCTCAACTGGAGCAAGAAAACCATCCTTTTTCTTACTGCCTGAGGATGCAAAATCAAACTCTGGAGTACCAGTATATGATAATCTGGCCAGAAAGAAAAGGAGCTTAATTGGCAGAACCCAAAATTGGAGCAATGAAATTTGGCACCCAGAAAGGATTATCGATAATTATGGGTTGGCTACCTGGGCCCAAGATGGATCCTGCGGGTACAGAACCCCAGAATACATGCTCAATCGAATCATCTCTCTACAAGCAGAACTTGAAATCATGTCCAATCCAACAACTCTGGCCATCGACCTCTTAAACCAGCAGCAACAACAAGTGTGATCAGTAATTTGCCAGATGTGATTGGAGGAGGCAGTGGACTACCTCCTCTCAGAGGAAGGAGGAATCTGTGGGAAATTTAATACTTCAGAATGCTGCCTAGAGATCAATGACCACAGTCATGTAATTAAAAACAGTACTCAAAATATTAGAAAACAAACCTATGTTGGAGGACAAAAATGGGCCCCCTTGTTTGGAGACTCCAATTGGTGGGACAACTTGTTCACCTGGAATGGTAAATAGTGGAAGAAATTGTTCTTCTTTGTGGTGTGTGCACTAGCAAGTGTAATATTACTAGCGTGTGCAATTCCATGTCTAGTCCAGATAGTGACCAGCTTTGTTGAAGAGGACCAGCAGCAGAGCTGCAACATCCTCGACGGGAACCCTCCCGCTCGGCCCATTGGCCCCGATACTCTAGGCCTCTCATTTTCTTATCATAAATGCTGAAATCACTTTTAGTACTGGGAGCCTGCTCTCGTTTTTAACAACACGAAATTCAGAATTCCTTGGGCACAGGAAGCTCAGGATTCCCACGGCACACGAACAATGAATTCCTGGGGCACACGAAATTCAGGAATCCTGGGGCACACGAAATTCAGGATTCCTGCAGCACACAAAGTGCTGGATTCCAGGGGCACCTGAACAGATCAATTCCTGGGGCACATGAAATTCAGGATTCCAGGGGTACACAAACAGATCAATTCCTGGTTAGGATTCCTGGAGCACACACACAGACAATGATCGGTCCCTCAGGGCTGAGCTCCAGCGGTGGCAGTGAATTCTCCTGGCAGTAAGTGGCAGTCTGGCCATCCTCCTCCAATGCCAAAGAGCGAGAGAGAGAGAGGCTGCTCCCAAACCCTGACGCCCATTCTCCCGCTATCTCTGTTCCCCACCCCGAGAGAAACTCCCAAAAACCAGAGGAGTTCCCCCTCCTTGCCTTCTCAAGCACTCAGCCAGCAGTGCCCTAGGCAGCTCAAAGGGGAAAACAATCCGCAAGTAACAAGGAAAGAACAAGGAAAACCCCAACTCCCAACAAGGCGGTGGCAGCTGCGGTTTTTGGGGGTTCCAGCAACACCCGGGGCGGGGTCAGTGCTCAGCAGCGGGGGCCCTCACAAACTTGGGAAAGTGGGGGTAGGGGGCAGTGGTGGATAGGGGGACATGGGGAGTTGGAGATACAGGCACTGGCGGGGGGTGGCAGGGGCTACGAGTGTCCTGGCAAGGCTAACAGAGGGGACAGCAGAAGGGCAGAGGATGGGAGTGGCTATGAAGGGAGGGGCTGACACCTCCCCTGTCCCCTCCCCAGCTGTCCCCAGTCCTGCTGCAGCCACCGGTTGCTGTGGTGGTCACCCTGGATGACCTGCTGGCCACCCTGCCCAGGCGGGACACGATGCTGCTGAGGTCTGCAGAGAGCCTGCACTGGGGCCTGGCGGACTTCACCAGGGGGCTCTGGGCCACCCTGTACCACCTTGATGGCACCTG